GGAAGGGAGTCAATACTGTGCGGGCACTCTCCTAAATGTGCATCAAGGTAACCGCTGCCGTACCAGGATTGAGCCAAGAAATTTTTGAAACGCGGTGCAGTGAAGTGATGGTAAATCAATGATGGGAACCTTATAATGGAATAGTGAGCATAAACAACATGGTGCAGATAATGGATCAGACTTTTCTATCTCCATTTTAAATCACTTACAAAGACCGTCAAAGAGAGCAGTTATTGCTTTGGAATTCTTATAAAAGAAGGAAGGGATGATGTACGATGCCCATGCTCATACAAGTTTTCTGTAGACCAGCAAAACGAAAACCAAAATAAGGGGATCGAACCTGGGAGTTTCTGCCTGCCGGATGACACGCTCACCAGTACACCAGAAGGCACACACCAAGCCCATTCTTGATTGTACTTGTGTCGAATTCCGCCCCTTAGAGACCCTTATAACTCCTCGCCCAAAAACGTGCCGCAGATAAGGACAGATTTGAAATCAGCGTTCGAACCCCTACAGGATAGTATCCATCGCATCCTGAAAGGCCACTTCGAATTCAGAAAGATGATACCGAGGTGACTAGACAGATGACACTATACTTGTACTGCGTAGTGATTCGGACACTTGTGATACTAGATTTAGATGATCGGATATGAATACGAACTGGAGGCAACTGAGACGAATAAATAATCTATGAAGGAGCGCCTTACAAAGCGCCCACTTTCCGCGCACATGTCAATTTAACATCAACAGATCTCAGAGATCATGAGGCGTAAGTAGCTGACAGGACACAACCTAACTCCTCGACACTTTGCAAGAATAGGCAAGCGAAGCTATAAAAGGCAGTCGAAGAAAGACGAATCTCAAGAAGTGCCAAAGGGACCACTGCAAATATCATTACCGCTGGTAGCGCTATTTAACGAAAAATGGACGCTAACTCCCAATTGAAAATTAAATCTATCATGAAGCATTTCTCAACCTCTTCCGCTCAGCAACGCCCATGCCGACGCCTGTCGTTCCCACTGGAGAAGTACCAACACGGAATCTACCTCCTAAAGTGCGCACCGCGCTTAAGCCTCAAAGATAAGCTGGATGTCGCAAGGACTTCAGCTGCACAGACGACAACGCCTGAAGGGTATCGAGTGTCACAGCAGTCTACAGGACCTTCAGCGCTCTCTTACGCAGCTGAGAACTGGGCTGAGAGCCTCTGCGGGCCAACGCGGAGCGCTTGAGTGCAATCTTCTGAACATTATACGAAGCAATATCTTGTCGGACTTTGCAGTACCGTATGAAAAGGATGCCAGTCTTTGCTATCGCTCAATATGTTACGAGAGCGAAGCACTTATGGTCAATCACATTTTGAGAAGAACAGACAACAGAAACGCTGGGGGAGAGGTCTTTTCGTACGGCGGTCTTCAACGCCGCCCTGAACTGGCTTGTCTTAACACGTCACGCACCCGCAAATCCTTCCTCCCCTGCTCTGCTTAGGCAAAAGCCGGCGCAGAGGGTCGCGCGTGGCATTGGTCTTGTATAGAAGGCATTACTCCGATTTCGCGCAATACACGCCCGAGGAAGACCGCCAATATAGGCTGTGTTTGTGAAACGGATGAAGCAACTAAGAAACCAGATGGGTACCACTCTGCATCTGGGACTCATGGAGGTATCCACCGACGACCAGCAAAAAGTTTGTAGATGTCGGAAGCGAGAGACAAGGACAATAAGCGACTTTTGCGCTGGCCTTGCATACAACATGAAAACAAGCCATTATCTGAGTACAGTTAGTGTGAATTACGTTCCCTCTTTCGCATGGGAACTACGCATGCGCAACGCAAGGTTCCTGGTGCGGACCTCCAATCGATGAGGCCCATTTGAATGCCGAGTCATACGCCCGCGAACGAGGCGCAAATCTCGTTGCGTTTACGGAAGAGGGAGCACGTGGTTGACACGGACTGTATATACCGTCTGCGCCCCAGAGAGGTTCCCATGTGAACCAGCGTGCGTACGTGGTGCGAGGCTGCCTTTCGCTCTTTTTGACACGTTTCTCCTGAGATTTCAACTGAAGTGCCGGAGGTTAACACGTTCAAAAGTGCGAAAGGCAGCGAGATGACGTGGTAGTACCTATGAGAACCTCTCTGGGACGCAACGATATATCGTGCATTCCCAGGATTGTTCCCATATTAACCATCAACGTGGCTGCCTTTCGATCGCTTTAAGACCCTGGGCAGAGCTCATGCGATTTCGTCGCGTCGCGTCCTGCTATTTTGGATAAACGCCGCGATGTTAAGTGTGTGGATCCTGACGCACTTGTGATGGCTGCACGGCGCGACGGATCGCTACTCACCTTCGGGTTGTTTCATACTGCAGTCGCTGCAGCGACTGCAGTCAAATCGGCGCGGGCAAAAGATATCGATCGATTGTCTGCCGTTGCTGCAGCGACTGGGCTGCACGTCAGGAGGTAGGATTTGAACGGATTTGAACGCGGCGTGTGCGGAAGAGCGGCCGCGCGCGGCGGCCGCTCCCGCACACGCCGCGTTCAAATCTTGGGGCCTCCAAAGCTCTTCGCCAATAGAGATTCCCGGCTGCAAAACAGGGGGTGAGTGTGGGGGCAGATACATGACTTAATGCTACAGCTAGGGCTGCGCCAGAAGCGCTAGTGTTGTAAGGGCTGAAGTACGTTGCGGCGTCGCTTCGCGAAAAATTCGCGCCGACCGTACCTCCTCACCGTCCTCCCAGCGACTGCAGTATGAAACAACCCTTCCGGCGTTCATAGCTCATTGGCGAAATCGTCGCTATCTTGCCGAATCGTCGCGTTTTCTGAACCTAAATCTAAGTGTTTTCTTTTCATTGATGAGTCTTGCCATTTTTTGCGAGTTTTGAGTGCAATATCTCCAAGTGAGATAGAGGAGATTTCAGAAGATATAGATAGAGGATGTATTTTCGAGTAAATAAATACACCACCTAACAAACCGGTACGGCACAGCAAAAGTGAGAAGTTTTGAGTGTTTTGCCTGAAATACTTCTCCTTTTTGTTGTGAGTGTTTTCGCATGAAGAGTGCAACTGCATGAAATCTCGGCGGTGGTGGGCAAGGCTCCGACCGGAGCTCCTCGTTGCCGCTTCCAATTGCCACTTCAAGCAAGTCGTTGCGACTCGAAATCGCAGTTACAGGAGCTTTCAGTCTGAGTTTCACGGTCGAGTGGTTCAACTCCTTGAGATCCGCCTCCGTGGGTCTCTCACGTGGTACCATACCGCATCCGCTAAGGCCTTCGCGGCATCTGGTGCGGTGTTGAACCACGTGAGAGACCCAAGCGACGCGGCTCGCGAGGAGAACCACGTCGACTGTGACATGTTCAGACTGAAAGCCCCTGTACTTCGTCGCGTGAGCTATGCACAGGGCCTAACACGTTAACTCCAGCAGATCAGAAGCACCGTCCACACAGATTCTCGACTTCCAGGTTCTTGTCGTTTCAGGGCCTTCCCATACCCCTGATCCCGATTATGAAGTCGAGAATTCTCGAAAACCCCGAGAATCCCCGTTGCGGAGAATCCGCAGGCCAGTCCGCAACGGTGATTGGGTGGGCGCGCATGGATGGGCGGGCATGGATGGAGGGGGCGGCGCCATCTGAGGTCCCCGTGCATCTTCGTTATTTCGGAGCGATTTTCTCGCTTTTAAAGCGACATTCTGCGCCGCGACGTATCGGCTTGGTATGGGGGCTCTAATCATATGTTGCGAAAAGCTCAAGACCCTCAACTTAGGGTGAACGGTGCCTTTAAAGGCAGCGTCCACCCTAAGTTGAGGGTCTTGAGCTCCAGGCAAGTCTGGACCTATGGGGATATTACGTGGTAAGTACTTTTGGGGCCCTAACTAAGCCACTGCCCAACCGGCAGCTCAGGTAGTGCCCTAACGGTTGAGATATTCCTCTCGAAACTGGACCCCGCGACCGTGTTTCGCATGGATTCATGGCGCAAAGCGTGGATCCTGGGCGAAACTGCCATGAATCCATGCGAATACGTTCGCGGGGGCCAGTTCCGAGGGGAATATCTCAGCCATTAGAGCACTACATGAGCTGCCGCTTGGACAGTGCCTTAGTTAGAGCCCCAAAAGTAATTTCCACGTAAAAGCCCCATTGGCCCAGATCTGCCTGGACGCTGCCTTTTAAGGCGCTTATTCGAAGTTGACATGTTAAAATGATCCAAAGACAGCCGCGTTTATGGTTCATATGAGAACAACTCTGGGGATGCACCATACATAGCGACAAAGCCGCGCGTGTTGCTGCAAAAGGTATGGCACAATCATTGCGCTTTACACAGCCTACACCAATTAGTTTTTAGCTTAAATGGCGTGAGCGCAGCAGCTACGACACAAGCGATATGTGATGAGAATAAACCGAATTGTTACTTATAAAAATAACGCGCACGCCGTGAGTGGTACAGCTGCTACTGAACGCATGACTGTAACGGACCCCATCCCCCTCCCGCTCGAAATCCTGTCCCCTAGCTCCAGGATCTTTTGTCCAATGCTTTTGTATGCCGATGCATCTCACATTTCTATACTCCCTACTAATTCCTCGTAATTAATTTTGTATGCGCGAATTTGAAAATCTGCTTCCGCAGCGCTACACCTATTGAGGACACGCTAAAACCAGGAAATGAAACAAGTCGAGCAATCAACTTTAACAAAACGTATAAACAACCCATTTGGGCTATGAAAAGTCAAGATGGGAAAAACATTCAAATTTCAAGCATTGAGGAATATCGGGAAATCAAACATTCTCTAGGCGTTTGAAAAAAATGACCGTGACTACGACCGGATTTCTCTCCCTGAACATGTGGGAGGGGGGGGGGGGTGTTTATTTGGTTGATGGTTTTCTTCTCATAATGCTGTAGGAGGTCTTTCGTAAATTGTTAACTACCTCGATGCTTGATGGATACGTTAAATAGTGTGAAAGAGTCGTAAGCACGACCTCATCGCTCGGGGGCTCGCTTGAATTTCACTGCTGTTGGTGTGTTCGATTTTAGTAGTTTTTCAGATGAAACTGTTTGATCATATACAGACCTTATACGAGCATGAACTCTACGAGGATCTCGTTTTTCTCCATGAAATTGTCCCGCATTGTGACAGGTGGGTAAATAAATAAAGTAACGCTTTTTAAGCATTGCTTTTAGTATGAGCACAAAACACGAAGCACTGATGGCGGTGTATGTGGCGGATGCTTACTTTGAACTGGAGAAGTACTCCCAAGGATTATTGGTAAGTTTCGGCGTCTATTTTTCCTTATAGTATGGCCATCGGTGGATAGAAAGATTGGTACTATTCCACTTTAGTTGACCCAGAAAATGAAAATCGTGAATTTCGCTAAAACTTCGCCTAGGGGGGTTATTTGGTATGATGAAAACGAATATGATGTTTATTTCGTGCGACAGCGCCATCCAGTGGAGTTACCGTAGGACTACATAAAGGGTCAAAATCACAGATTTGCCCGAAACATGGCCCAGAGAGGTTATTCGGCCCGCTGATGCCAAATATCACATTGGTTTTGAACCGTAGCGTCATTTTCTCGGGTTACGGTAGATACATGGAAACGGGTGTAAAACATAGTTCTGCTTCAAACGGGTGTACGGCGATTCGGGCGATCGTGAAGCTTTGCACACACGACCAGCGCCGCGCGCTACACACCCTGCTGCTGCTTTTGCCTAAGCAAAGCACAAGGGAAAGATACATTCGCCGACTTGTGACTTTGGCCCCCTACCGTACACCCACCGTAACCCGAGAAAATGACGCTACGTACAAAACCAATGTGATATTCGGCGTCAGCGGGCCGAATAACCCCTCTGGGCGAGTTTCGGGCAAATCCGTGATTTTGACCCCCTACCATAATCCTATCGAACTCCACCGGATGGCGCTGTCGCACATAAACATCGTATTCGTGTTCAGCGTACCAAATAGCCTCCCTAGACGAAGTTTTAGCGAAATTCACGATTTTTATTTTTTGGGTCAATGTGGAATAGCGCCTAGAGATTTAGGGCCGCATGCACTAACATCGCCGCGGGGAGGGGACCGCAGCTTAAAAGAAAGCTTCATATTTCGAAACTTCAGATACCTGGATTTCACGTTGTGTACGTACCCGTAAGTATGATCGGCTCCCAGATTCGTGTGGAGGTGTATTGCAGACTTTGCCTGATAACACATGTAAACTTGCTAAACCTCCACGTCATAGTATTGCTTTTCGTAATCTCTCGCTAGCAAAAACCGCCACGCGGTGAGTTGGCAAGACTCCACCTCCACACGAATCTGGGAGCCGATGATATTCCTACTATCCTTCACTATGAACATGTTGAACAGGAGCGAGAAGCTGCACAAACCGCATTTTCCAGCTTTTGTATGATCCCTGATGATCCCCGGTGCTTTTCTTTAAAGTCATTTTTCTTTATCCGAAGTTTACGAAAAACTTCCAAAGTTGAGCAGATTATCTAACCCAACAGTGCTAAGCATGTTGCTGATAAGAACAAATGTTGTTTTGAAGTCATGAAATTTCCGATGATCCACAGGTCGAAGTTTGGGGTTTGCCGAAATCGATTTTTCAAAAATTCATTTATTCTCATCAGCAACATGCTTAGCACTGTTGTGTTAGATGTTCATACAACTTTGGAAGGTTTCGTTAACTTTGGAGAAAGAAGAATGACTTTAAAGAAAAGCGCCGGGGATCATCAGGGATCATGCAAAAGCTGGAAAATGCGGTTCGTACAGCTTCTCGCTCCTGTTCAACATGTTCATAGTGAAGGATAGTAGGAATACCTACGGACAGGTATACAACGTGAAATCCAGTTATCTGGAGCTTCAGAATATGAAGCTTTCTTTTAAGATGCAATCTCCTCTCCAACGGGGATGTTAGTGCATGCGGCCCTTACACAGCATACCTATGTGATCAGTCTTGTGCAAGTGCACCGGATTGACTTCGCTGGGTATTCCGACATTTTTGGCACTTTTGGTAAAAGCCTGACGTGTCCTGACGGGCCAGTTTCTGTAGGCATTTATCGGATGCGTTGACCGCGCGGACTACTCAAAAGCTGCGAATTAGCGCGGCGCGGTTGAAATGTTGCGAGAACACGACTTGTACAATAGCGAATTTGCATGGGGGCAAGCGTTTTGCCTCGCGGCGCGTGCTCCGCAGTGATGTCCAGTCCATGCGGTCAGCGAATTGACGATATATCCCACGCGAAGGAGTAGAGCCATCCATATGCAATTGTAAATTATCATCGTAATTTTCAAAAGCTATTGCTATGAGACGCGAATTTCGGTGTTTTGTGAAACTTTTTGGATCTTCCATACTCTCGCCGATTTTTCTCCAAGGCTTATTCACCTTCTTACGAGGTTAGCGAATGTGTGTAACAAAAATGCAGAGGATCAAATTCTATATTGCTGAGGAATTGATGAGGCAGTGAACCAGAATTTCATGAAGCAGAAGTTTTATCAGGTACCGAGGGTAGTGGTCAATCGAAATTATTGTTCTCATGGGTTTGTCTCCTATCATGCTAGCATTTTAGACTAAAATTTAAGCACATCTTCATGTTTTTATTGAAATCAAAATATGGCTTGAAAAAAAAAGTACCATGGAGTTCTGCTGAAGGTCAAACATTAGGCTTCTCAACTTATTCAATGAATGTTTTGACTCAATGTGCGTATCGAAAGTAGAGCTGAAGTAGTCAATGCAAAATCCACTCATTTCGAGCTTTCTGAAGTTCAGGGCTCTTCCTTGAGCTCCTTCCCTTCACCGAGAAGATTTAGTGCATAGGCTTGGCTTTGAGGGGTCTTCTTCGGTGGCACGCATATTTGAAACTCTCTTTTTAGTGGGAACTTCTTACAATGGTTTTCGATTAAGCAATGATAAATACTGCATGTAAAATAGGATACGGTGATCCGTCGCAGCTCAAGCGCATAGTTAAACCGTTCTTATTGATTTACTAATCCAGTTAGGGCGAATGTGATATTCTCCACACGAACTGAATCAAATGATGCGTAAGCCTACATGCTCGGGCTTGTCTATTCCGCAGTATGCCTCAAAATCTATCGCATTGCAGAATTACTTCAAAGCACTGCAGCTTTATCCAGAAGTAGCCAGAATGATACACAATAAGGTAATTACACACGAAACTGAATTAATATTCCCGTTGCATTTTATCCTTTTCCAACATCTCGTTTCAGCAGTTTTCCGACACTGAAGTTAGGTTTCGCTATCATAAATGCTTAGTGAAGGAGAAGAAGTTTGAAGAAGCTTTGGGTGAGTGTTGAGTTATTGCGGTCTTTACCTTTAAATTGCATATACAATTGTTTATGCCAAGTTGTGTGATGGGCGCGGAAAGACAGTGTAATCAAAGTTCGACTACCACATGCGGCCTAACCAAGCCCCACACCGTACTTGATCCACTTGAGACTACAGTATTGATCAAGTCACTACTGTGGTGAATCAGATGGATCAAGACTATCAATAGGGGCACTCTAAGCCGCCTACCCCACGGAGACTCTAAAGTGCCAAATTGTAGGTCGCCATAGTGGCTTCAAATGCGAAAGTGCGGCACAGAGAAAAAAATCTGAAGTGCTTAATCTGAACCACAAAGATGTGTTTGGATTGTTTATATAATTCTTTTAGCTGTGTTGGCCAAGATTCCCGGCCACCAATATATACCGAAAGTGCGATACGCTATGGCCAAGCTTCTAGCTGGCAAGGATCATAAAGGAGCGAACATGTCGATCGGTTACTTACAGTGAGTTTCGTTCAGTTTAGCTTCTGCGCATATTTTTGGATATTATAAGTAGTTCGTCGCACGTAGAACCAGAGTGCCAGTGCGGCATTTCTCTGATCTGCGCCTTCATCCTTTCGCCGTCTGCCCTTTCAGCAAGGAATATTGCGAACGCAACTCTAGTTTCTCCGTGCCACGATTGCTTATGTCTTTTAGCGGTTGCGGTGGCGTTAAAAGTTTTTTTGACAAGGGGTAGGAAAATATGGTTAAGATCTACGCATCCAGGGAAAGCTGATTGCTTTCAAAGGCAGCGTCCGCGCAGATACGAAATTGTAGCGTGCAGGGGCTCCGCCGTGATAAAGCTCTTGCCGAAGTGGCATTGCACCACTTTGCTTCTAAAACGAGAAAACCGCTTCAGAAGTGGCGACCAGAACGCCCCGGCGACCTGCCCGCCCCTTTGATTGATAGCCAGAGTACAGAGTAGGAAAATCTCAACTGCGTGTCTTTCTGTTTTTCCTTGGCCTTCTGGATGAGTTCAGACCAGAGCTGTGCTTGAAAAGTCAAAAAAGTGTTTTTTATGGTGTTTTCCGGCCTTTTGTAATGGAATGCTGAGGAGGCTGAAGAGGAGATCCCGCCAAAAACAGTGACTGGCTGCAGGAGACTGTAACACCACTCATTTTGGCGGTAATTGGCTGATTGGCCCAGGCAACCAATCGCGACTCGGCTGCGGAAATCTAGGCTCCAGCCTTCTCAGCAATCTCTAAAGCCGGAAAAACGCCACAAAAAGCACTTTTTTGACATTTCAAGCACCGCTCTTGTCTAAATGCATCCAGAGAGATCAACCGAAAGCGCACAGTTCAATTTTCCCAGCCACTGCCTTTAACCTCGGCGCAGGCGTCCGTATTTTTGACATTTTCTTACTCTGCAAGCTATCTTTATAGCAGGAAGAGGAAGCCCAAGCGAAAAAAAATTTGTCTGAAATTTTGGGACGCTGCCTTCAAGCTACAAAATATTTTAGTTATTATAAGCACACGCCGCATTCAATCTATTTGTCCGCTTGATCCATTTGATCTACTTCGCTATTCGGAATCGGCAAACTGACCGCTAGCGAAATGGGTGAGGTGAATATAGTGGATCGAGTGGACACCCAGTCATCCACTTGATCCGCTTCGCTGGTCAGTTCAGATTTAGCCAATAGCGAAGTGGATCAAGCGGATCAAGTGGATTATGTTCGCCTGCCATACCGCATGGCATATACCCAGAGTACCTGTAAAAATTCTTGACTTATCCTCAATTAGAGCGAACCTGCGTCTGTTGTAGTATCATTTCTAGATTTAGTATGAAAAACGTCATTTTCAGAGACGTTTTTACCAACTGTAATAGTGCATTCGGCTCTTTGGCTACTGTACTTCGGAGTGGGACGTCAAGTGCATCTACCGTTGATACCGAAGCAATTGCTGATTGTTTTGAGGGATCCGGTTCGACAAATCTGACGACGTGGCTAGAGGCGCAAAAGCTGTTGGGCATCGGGCAAGCTGAGCAAGCTTTGAAGATTATGTCTTTGCTTGGAACCAACAATCCTAAGTGTGCATAGTCCTCTTCTTTGGCATAGCACAGAAGATCCTACTACCGCTACATCAAGTGCTTTCAGGATCCTGACAGAGATGGGGTTGGTGTATAACTCACTAGGAATGCGACATGAAGCTCGTTCGGAACTGGCCAAAGCCCATTCGCTAGACGGTGAACAGCATTACGCAATGGATACTCTAGCTTTGTTGTATGCACAGGTCAGTGCATCTCCACCATGAATTCCCATTCACTTCCGGAGTTTGCAGAACACTCCGCCAATGGCCAAAGAATTAGAGTCTTTGGCGACACAGCTAATGAACTCTAACGAGAATACTGTTGAGGCATGGATTGCCTTCGGTCACTGTGCAAGAGTGCAAGGTCAGTAGCTTTTTATTCAGTGGTTTCATTCTTGAAAATTTGTCTCAGGAAAACTGAAAACTGCATTGTATTTTGCGCATAAAGCATGCAATCTTACGATCTTTGGAGACAAACCCAAATCTGAGGCAATGATGTTGAAGGCACTCGTCCTTCTCGATCTTGGTGAGAGTTAGGTTTGAAACATGATTTGCATTTGTGTGCATTTCTTTTCAGAAAAGTTCGATGAGGCAATGCGTCATTTGAGCGCGGCCATCAAACGAGACATAAAAAATATCGACCTTTACGAATTACAAATTGTTACTTATCTGCAGAGAGCAAAGTATGTCAGCTACCTTACTTTTGCGTTCGCTTATTGTTTTTGTCAACGAATTTTCAGGAATTATTCTCATTACAGAATTCGGGAAGCTCGAGCGGCAGTAGCCATATGTATGCAAAATCTTCCGAATTCTCCCCGAGCAAGAGTGCTTAAGGCTCAGGTTTTGCTTGCTTCAACCAGTGGCAAGGAAGTACTGCCTGCGATCACTTACTTTTTTCTCTCTAATTGCTCCTATTCTAGGAAGCTCAAACAATTTTGGAAGAAGTGGTTTTTGCTCATCCGTATCTTCTAGAGGCTGTGTGGCTTCTTATTAGTCAGTACGACAGCACCCACAATTATCAGAAAGGTACGGAGGTTTTGAAGAAATTGACTGAGGTAAGAGTTGTGACATAATTAGAACAGCTCTTTGATTTTGTTATTTTTCAAGAATTCAATGGTTCCATTCCATTCAATGGGTCGTTTACATCACCAACTTGGTGAATTTTTGTCGAAAACAGGAATGCCTGCGGCAGCGTATCATCATACAAACCTGGCTCTCACGAAGCAATGTGAAGAAGCAGCAGTCCAGGTGGGGTTTTGTTATCGACTGAGAATTTCAATGCAGATAACGTAAAGATTGTTCACTTGAAAATCTTTGCGACAAAATCACTAGTAAATTGAAATGTCGAAAGTGACGTGATGTGCATTAGTTTACACTCGTACAACAGCAGTTTCTTCATTTTATTTCATTGTGATGATTGATGATCATCATACTATGGATAGCAGTACTTGTTTCATTTTCAGATGACGCATCTTGAACCGGCGTTGTCGTTCACTACACCTCCTATGCCTACCACTCCCACTAGTGTGCCGACTGGTTGTCCGGGCGCTCCGCGTCATAGAGGGCGGCAAAGACATGCCGCGACTTCCTCTACTGCTCCCGCAGGTGAAGGAGGTCGTGTGGTCCGAGCGTTCTCTTTCGACTCCTCTATGGACGATACGGGAAATGATGCAATGGATGTAAATTCTGGAAGTTGACATCGAAGAACGCTGAGAAGATAGCTGACTTGGTCAATGTGATAGTGGATCTCAAATGTGATTTTTCTTGGCACACGCCATACTTGATCCGCTTGATCCACTTCGCTATTGGTCACCTCGCTGATTTGACTAATAATGAAGAGGACCAAGCGGCAAATATGGCGTATGCTTTAGGATCATAATCAGTTTTATACGGTGTTAACAAAAAGTAAATATCTGAACTGGTGCGATTAAAGATTTATCAATGGATGCTAATTTGTCAACACATTTTGTGGTAGCCCAATATTACACAATCCATACGGTGGGAGAGGGAGGGGGGGGGGGGGTGGTATACACCAAGCTGGTACCACTACGTTAATAACTGTTTATTCGATAGCAGCGGAGCAGCCGCTGACTATCAACAGTGAATATGCGGAACAGCCGCTGACGATATAGTGGTATTAATCGAACCAACACCAGAACTGAGTATCCAAGCCCTTTTATGCCACTATTTTGGGCGTGGATAACCTGAATGCTCACTTCTGGCAAACAACAGTATCACACAGAATCAAGGATTGCCTACATGAAAGTAGGCGCCGCCAAGTAGACTATCAAGCACAGTGGATGGGTGACCTGGCGGCTTAAGTGGTCAGTGAACAGTAACGTTTGTCAACGACAAGCCAGTAGATACTGAATATAACATACAATATGACTTTAGAATAACAAATTTTGTAGATTAGCTAAGTAATCTACGACAGGGGAGGCAACAAAAGTTTTCCTCGGTTGGAAATGCGTGGATTAGCCATGCACTTAACAAATTCTTTTTGAAATGCATCCATAATTTTTGCGATCTCATAGTCCCGACGTTTTGGGGGAAGAGAGCGTGATGGTAGTCGCGCCTCGGATAAATTTATTCACACTGCTAACTTCAATTCTGAAATTTTTTTTCGAGAATTATTTCACTTGATTAATATGAACGAATCATCTGCATAATTTTATAACTTCTACGTGGCACCGGCTGTGCCCGGCACTGTCAATACATTCTATAGGGCATTTGAAAAATCGGAGGATAGTGCGACCGCGCGAGACACGCACGCCAAATCCGGAAATCGCACTTTCTTGGTTTTCTGTTTTAGTCGAATGGTTTTTTGCTTACGTATGGTAATGTTTAGATCCTAGAAGTGACTATGCTGAACGTTGAGACGATGGCTTCTTGTATGAGCGTTTGATACTTCTGTGGGCGCAAAGTCCGCAGTAAAATCCGTCGTTCATAAATGAACTATAATCAATTCCCACTTCTCGGTCCTCCACTTGCTACTTTAAAGTCCGCGGAAGCTGATACGAAGGAGTTAGTAGCCCACAGATCTTAGTTACTCTATCTTGGGACACCCTCAAATGTCACGCAAAGAATTGCTTATAATCCTACATCGAACTAACACTAAATGTATCTGATGAGAACAATTTGCATAATACCCTGCTGGTCATATTTAAAATTGGCAGCTTCGCTTGGTAAAGTTATCGAATCTTTTTATATTCTGTGGTCCAGCATGTTGTCATCAAGGGATATTTATTTTAGACGTTGTGGAAATCAAAACAAAGCAAAGATATTGTCTTTCTAAAATCTGGCTTGGGGAGATCAAACTCTGCAACTTTTCAAAGAAGGCTTTTCGATACTGTCCCTATCTGGCGATATAAGAGGAAACGATTGACGTTGTTGCAAAGGAAAAAAAGGAAGGAGAAGAGTTTCAAGAATGATTTTCCTTCAGAGATTGTAATACATATCGTGCATCCCCAGAATTGTTCCCATATGAACCATCAACGTGGCAGCCTTTCGGTCGTTTCAACACGTTAACTCCAGCAAATTCAAGGCTTTATTCGAAGTTGACATGTTAAAATGATCGAAAGACAGCCACGTTGATGGCTCATATGGGAACAGTTTTGAGAAATGCCTCATTCTTCATGTATTGGGTTGTTTCAAAAGTTCTACCCGTTTTCGAGCTTTGACTTTGATTCACCGTAACTCTTCTCAGAAATAATCTTTGCATTTGCTATAAACCGTGTTACAGTCTGCAAATTCTTGGGTATTCTGCGCACTCTCTAAAATTATTGCAGTAACAGTGGAGAAGATTTTATAGGCGAAAATGGAGGAACATCCCCTCGCAGAAACCTTCACTTTGCGAAAGCAGAACTTAATCTATATATAAATAAAACTCAATCTCTGTAAATTTGCTCGTATATAAGTATGTGGCTTATAGACTCCTTTGTTTGTGAACCGATGAGGCTGAAATCTGCTCCCTTATAAATGAGACCAGGTGCAGAAGATAGGCTACTTTTTGCGACGATTCACTGGGTCCTTCTATCGATTTATTGATATGTTTTCACATGTAAGGGAATAAACTTATCTATCACTAGCTGGCTTACCCGGCTCCGCCGTATGTTCCGAATAGAAAATTCCATTTCTTAACCGATCCGGACCAAACTTGCACACATACCCTTCGGGCCCCGGCGGGTGTCACAGTCCACTTTTCGTTATTGATCGATGTCGATTTTATCGATTTTTTGCAAAATTTGAGCTAGGGGGCTGGTTTGGCAGAGAGGTGTAATCGAGCATGCTGATCACCCCTACGGGGATGATCAGCATGCTCGATTACCCCCCTGTGCCAACTCCCAGCCCCGTAGCTCAAATTTTGCAAAAAATCGATAAAATCGATATCGATCGATACGAAAAATAGCCTATGACACCCGCCGGGGGCCCGAAGTGTATGTGTGCCAAGTTTGGTCCGGATCGGTTCAAAAATGGAATTTTCTATTCGGAACATACGTACACACAGACATACAGACAGACAGACAGACAGACATACAAACAGACATTCAGCTTTATATATAAGACTAGCGACCCTACGGGTCGCTAGCAAGTCGGGTGAGGGCAGATTTTTTGAGAAACGCATATTTAAAGGCAGCGTCCCCTCAAAAAGATAGGTGCCAGGTTTTGTGGCGATACTAAAGTAGACCCCGTACCTAAATGATGACTGAAGTTCGGAGCGAAAAAGGGGATCTACATGCGCAAACCGTCAGACTTCACCTCCACTCAAAACCGAAATTGAATGCTCATTTTATGCTGAAGAAATTGAACTCTCCACAATCTCGAAAGCAAGTTTTTAATAACTTTCTTGAAAAGAGAAAGAAAAGAGACATGAACTTTTCAAGCAAGGCCTTACTTTGCGAACGTCAAATTTTACCTTTCCCTCTCCCCTCCCTGTGAGACTGTACTTGACTGATTGCTCAGTTTTCCTTATAAGAATCGATTTTTTCCTCCTACTTGAAAGAATGAGTTTCCTTGATTTTCCAGGATGTGAAAGGAACATGGGCTTTCCAAGATAGATTTTCAAGGAGGCCATCACTGCAATGATGTCCTACGATATGAACGAGTTGTTGTTGCGCCGGAAGTTCCGCCTTGCGATTGCTCCCTTGAAGTTCAACCAATTGCACTCTAGCTTTGATATTTGAAATCAACTCCTTCTGAACAACGTGAAAGAGTTTGTAGAAGTTCGAAAATCTCGTTCTCAAAGAAGCTTCCTCTTGACCAGTGGCGGTATAAACGCATTGCCGTGTTGGTATCGCCGCACCTGCATAACTCTCTTCAGGTTGAATCTACCAAATTCTAGTTTGGATATTTAAAATCGGCGTCTCCCCGCTTTCTGAAAGTGCTTTTAGACTTCAAAATTTTGCTTTTAAGCTTTTTTTACTCCATGCCAGCGGCGATCTAAACGCAACGTCGCGCTGGAAGTGCCGCATACTGTAACTTGGTTAAAAATCCTCCGACTGAGATTTACCAATATTTGAAAACAGCATCCTTTTAACTACTTATGAGATTGCTCAAACTATGTATCGAGCCACAGAGACGACGAAGTAAACGTCATTTCGCGTCGAAAAAGGTGCATTGGTTCAACTTTCCTCGTGCTGTTCTTATCAAATTTTGAAGCAGATACTTGGAACAAGTGACTCCAAGCTATCTAAATATGCGCCCAAAACTTGCGACAGCTATAGTGGTAATGGCCATCCCGACTACATATCCTAACGGCTATGTGCATGACTGATTTTACTTACAAGATGGGATTTAATTCCGGACAATGGGTAGTTCAGAATTCGTGGTTTATTCTTATCAAGGATCAGAAAAATTTCTGGAGTACTGCAAAGACGGTACTGAGAGTTAAACTATTGTAAAATCATCGTTGTTCAGCATGAAATCCGACTCGCTCGAAGTTCAAGAAAATGCAACCTAGGTCTTTTTGATAGCCGGTGACAAGACGGCACTACAATTGCCGGATTTCGAATAGAGCGGCGATATCCAGTCCTACCAAGACAGCGCCAGGCTCTCAAATTTGCCTGATCAGGGAGGGGGAGGGTCATTCGATCCGCCAATGCTACACGTCACTTTTGTTTCATACGTGACGCCATTTTGTGAGCGTTAGTGTGGGCGTACTGTAGGGAGTCAAAACCAAGATTTACTCTAAACCTTACTTAGGGAGTTATTTAGCCCGCTGAACATGAATATCATATTGATTTTTCAAGATAGCGCCATTTTCTTGGGTTGCGTTGTGTACGGTTAATGCGTCGAAGCTCCAAATTTGCTCGCAACTTTGCCTAGAAAGGTTTTGAAGCATGCTGATTGCGAATAACATGCTTGCTAGCTGCAATAACGCCTTATAGTGGAGTTGCGGTGATTTGCAGCGTATGAAAAGACATGACGCTATTCGGCTATACGGGCCCTAGAAGTCTTGCCATGGATTTGAATTAAACTTTGTCCAACAAGTTTTCTCATTTCAGCTTACAACAATTGCCGCAGTCTTATGCGTTTTGAGTGCATTCCAGCTCTGTTCATTCCCATAGTTGCCTTTCCAACATCTGGGCCCCAAAATTTCAAAGTCGTGGATTTTGCTCAATTTCGGTCTTGGGAGGTTATTCTACCCGCTAGTCCGAAATCACACTGATTTTGCGTGGTAGCACCATTTTCTGGGGGTAGGGTAGGTATACGGAGTGGGGTCAAAGTCACAAATTTCGCTGTTCTAAAAGAGTTGCTTGACGTACTGATCAAGTCACGAATATCAAGGGATAAAATCTTAGATTTACCTGGAAACCAATTCAGAAGAATTATTCCGCAAACGGACCCGTTTTTTTGTTTATAGTAAAGGATGGTTATCTGACTTGTTGATCACAAATATGGGGCTCAACTTGCATGATAAAGCCTTCAGTTTCTGTGATCTAAACTG